AAAAAAAAAAAAAAAAAAAAAAAAAAAATCCTAAGTAAAAAATGCATTTAATACACTTGACCTACTGAACATCATATCTTAGCAACACAGGACACTGTAATATGTGCTGTTTATTCTCATGACCTTGCAAATGGCTGCTGCTGCCCAGCAAGCATCAAAAGAACAACCTGGGGAAAGATCAAAACCAAAATTTGAAGTATAGATTCTAGATTCTACTAATGCATATTGCTTTTCACTATCATAAAGTCAAAAGATCCTGTCAAAAAAATTTTATATATCTTTAGTCAAACCAGGAACATGAAGAGTAATACACAGGCCTCACAAGCGCAATGATCCAAGTTCAACCACTAGTACAAAAAAAAAAAAAAAGGAATATACAGAGCCACTAAAGAAATGGTATACACACCTCAGCAGTTCACCATACTAATAAATGTCTTGAGCTAATGGTTCGTACCACTCTGAGCACCTTTTGTGATTGTAGAGGCCAAAGGCGACTTATATTAATCTCATGATGTCGCAATAAATTTACTATGAAAATATACATTTATCTTTTTCTGATCTTTTTGTTTGTTTTAAGAGTAGGAAAATTTAGTGAGGAATAAGAATGGGGAATAGCTCCTGAGAGACAGAGGGGGTCCTGAATGTGTTGCTGCTTTTCCTGATCTTGATGTATACAATTTATTGGCAGTTTCTCTCTCTCTCTCTCTCTCTCTCTCTCTCTCTCCCTTTCTCTCTCTCATCATATATACACATGGGGATCCTCTTGTCTCAGCCTCCTGAGTACTGGGAGTATAGGTGTGTGCCATCAGGCCTGGCTCTGGAATAACATGTTAAAAATATTCAAGGAGGGCAGGGGATTTAGCTCAGTGGTTCGGTGGCCTGCCTTGCAAGCGCAAGGACCCGAGTTCAATCCCTGGTACCATAAAAAAAAAAAAAAATTCAAGGAAAGACAATGTAAACTAAAAAGAAAAAAGTTCTTGAGACAGAGTCTCACTGTATACCCAAGCTGGTTTTGAACTTGTGGGCTCAAGTGATGCTCCTGCCTTAGCCTTCTGAGTAACTGGGACTAGTGGTATGGGCCAGAGCACCTTCCTTGAACCACAGATTTTACTTTCATTTTATTTATTTATGGTGTTTTTTGGTACCAGGGATTGAACTCAGGTACTTGTTCTTGTGAGGCAGGCAGTGGCACCACTGAGCTAAATCCTGAACTAAAGATTTTAAATTCAGAAAAACTTACCTTACAGTGTAATGTCCACTGAGAAATTCATCAGTATGCAGGAGCTGAAGGAAGATTGCTCCTGTGTGACTGGCTTAAAGAATTTACTGGATGGTGCCTGTCAGACACCCAGTGCTATGAGAGCAATCAGCACAGTGATGGTTGGTATTAAATACTGTCAATTGCAGAATTAGATTACATGAGAGTCAAATGAGGGTAAGCTGGGTACAGTGGTGCATGTCTAGAATCCTAGCACTTTGGAAGGCTGAGACAGGAGGATTGTAAATTCACGTCTAGACTGTGCAACTTAGTGATTTTTCAGACCATCTCAAAGTAAAACATAAAGAGCTGGTATGTAGCCCAGGGTGAAGGTCTTGGATTCAATTCCAAGTATTGAGAAAAAAAGAGAAGGGAGTATAATATATGTAAGATCTGTATGCTCTGCTAATGTAAATTTAGTACATTAATTAAAAAAGGAAGGGATGAACAAGCCCCAGTACTGCCAAAAATATAAATAGATACATGGATGGATAGATAGATGATAGATAGATAGAAAATAGGGATAGCAGTGAAAACATTAAAAAACTTTTTAATAATCATAATTAGTGGTGTGGTTATTCTGAGATGGTAGTACTTCTGATGTAGGATAATGCAAATGAGTAATTGTAGATGACTATAATTCCTTATCCCCGGGTCTTTGAGAAACAGGATTCTCAAACTTTGAACTGGAAAATCAGTCCTGAATTTGAGGTGAAATTATCATCATGAACTCTTGAGGTGTTTTTCCTTCACATATGTCTATTTTTCCATTAGTTCTGAAATTGGCCATGAGACATTCCAGGTCTGGGCAACACAATGTGTAAGATGGCCCAGGAGTGCCTTTTCATTCCATGTGGTAAAAATATCATCAAAGACTAGATTGACTCTCTAGGCCTGCCATAATAAAGCCACAACTGGGGTGCTTAAAACAAATTTGTTCTCTTGCAGTTTTGGAGATTAAAAATCTGAAACAAGACTGAAATAAGATTGGTATCTTCTGAGGCTAGCCTGGGCCACAAAGTGAGACCTTGGCTCAGAAAAACAGAAACAAACCAAGAAAAATGTTTGGTTCCTTCTGGAAGCTCTGAAGGAGAATCTGTTCTGTACCCTTCTCCTTGCCTTAGTGGCTATGACAATCCTTGCAATCCTTGGCTTATGGACCCATCCCTCCACACTTTGTGTTGTTGTCAGGTGACATTCTCCCTGAGTATCCCTCTTCTTATCAGAACACCAGTCACAGTGGATTCGTGGCCATCCTGAATCCGGTATGGACTCATTTTAATTTGATAACATCTGCAAAGACATTGTTTCCAAAGAAGTTCCCATGGGCTCCGGGTGGTCATGAGTCTTGGGGCGCCTTGTTCACCTTCAAGCAGCCTGCTCCATCATGAGTAGAGCTGAAGAACATCACCAGCTCAGCTCTTCCAAACACCACTGTGAGGAGACATTCTACATAGTTTTGGGGACAATTCATTTCCTAATTAAATTATGGTTAAGGCTGTCTGAGGCCTCCTCTTCATGCTGGAGGGAGGCTCTGACATGAGAAAACATGACTCCATTTTGCCTCCGGCACAGCTGAGGGAGGCTTCAATGATTCCAAGATGCTGTGATGCTCTAGGGCAAGATTACATCAGCTGAAGACATCCTGGTTCTTTGAGAACCAAGTAATAAAAAGAAGAGAAAGAGGTTTCACCAGGGGAGGGACAATTTCCTTATCAGTTAACTGTCCCACCTACATTTTGCTCTTCTTACTTTCCTTATCAGCAAAAACTCCTGCAGCACAAATTAAAATCCTCTTCACCATAAGATCCCCATCAATTTAGGATTACCATTGCCCTCTGGTCATCTGATACTGCCTCTTGTTATTGTATCACCCCAATAAATAATGGCAAGCTTGGGGTGTCTTTGTCTTTGCCCACTCTGAGGCACTGACCTCCCTCGCCCACTATATACTTTGAAATTATGCAAGTCTCTATTGTCTTTCTTTTTTCTCATACCAGGGATTAAAGTCAGGACCTATGCAGGCACTGTACCACTGAGCTAAATTCCCCTCTATTGTCTTTCTTTCTTTAGCCCTCACCATCCCCCTTTCTAGGCAGTTGGAGAACTGGCTGTCCTCCGATACACAACTCCCCAACACTACTTATTCTTTCTTTCCTGCTTTACCATCCTGGGTCATATTTTCTTCAGCTCCTTTTTCCTGCTAGTTTATCTGTTAGACAATAGCAAATCAGTTTGTGTTAGTAATGGTTTAATAGGAGCTGTTTAGACATGATCAATCCTTATATTTGCACAAATGCATTTTAAGCCATGACTCAGAGAAGTCATTCTGACACTCAGTAGAAGCTGAAGGACCACACTGCCAATGTAGAAACTCGGTTCTCTGCCAAACAAAAGACTTCTCTGGGCTCTTGCCTTAAGAATAAACTCATGATGAATGCAGCATATTTGCTCTAATTGCATCACCTATCTGTCCATCTGTCTGTCCATCTGCCTGTCTATCTGATTTTTTGAGACAGGGTCTCACTATGTACTTCAAGTGGACTTTGAACTCGCTATTTAGCCCAGGCTGGTCTCCATCTTAAGATCCTTCTGCCTCAACCTTCCCAGTGTGATATTGTCCGGAAGTCATCTACTACTATACTACCAGAAAGCTACTATTTAAAGGAGCTGAGCACTTGTCCCTCCTATATTCAGTGGGTATGTGGACCCTGTGTATGGACCAGTCCCTTTCCTGCTTTGGCATAACCCAAGACTTGGAGAAGCTAGCAGGGCACCAAGAAGCCCACAGCATTGCCAGCTGTGTCCAGTTTGTGTTGTGGGTATGGTACTAGCACACCACTGCAGCCTTAAAATGCTATTACCACTGACTGGGGCTGGAAAAGGCCTGGAAACTGGGGATGGCCACCATACCACCCCAGTCTCCACCCCTACCCCTCCTAGAGTTTCTGTGAATTAAATATTTACAATCCAAAGAGATTTGTTGCAGGACAAACAAAGGCAGCACTTTGGGGTGGGGCTGGAGCTCCCTGGGCTGCATCTCTTTGTTCTCCAGCTGTCAGGAACTCACCCTGTGTACTGCAAAGTTTCCATCCACCTGCCAGTGCTGGAAGCCCAAGGGGCCTGGCTGCTTCTCTGGTGTGGAGTCTGAGAGTGTTCCTGTGAGCACAGATGCATGTGAAAATGTGGTCAAACACATACAAGTAACCCCCAACTACTTTTAGCTCCTCAGTGTAATCATTAGATCTTATGAATAGAGAGCATAAATAAGTCATTTAATATTTTAAAAATTGCAGGAATGTGCCACAATGCTCTGCTTCGAATGGAGCCTTACTCATTCTGGCCCCCTCCCCATTTCTTGTGGCTACAGTACACTGAAGTCAGTTATCTAAGTGCTTTCAGTCATGTATAAAGCTTGAGCACTGAGAAAGCAACCCCAGTTTGGGAAGAAGAGGCAGAGTCCAACTGTGAAAGGATGTTTAGGAAAGAGGTAAAGATTCCTGTGTTTCGGATCAGTTTATTAACATGACGGGTCTGTTCAGTCTCACCCAACCCAGGTCTGGGCCCAGAGTTCAAGTCATGAGTATGTGAGATTTCACTGCCTCCATCATGTTTGCATCATTCCCCAAAGAAGGGAGTACAGAGGCATTTGCTGACAAAAATTTGCCTGTTTTTTTTGTTCCCTCTCGGTATTCAGCCACAGTTCTCTTAGCCACTCTGCATGGAGCCCAGCTACTCAGCACCCATCTGCCCTGACACATCCCCCAGTCATCAGACATGAAGTTCCTCCAGCCAGCAAGTGGAATGGGAATGGTGGACAGTCCCATCTAGCTGCAGCCTTACAGGCCCCTGGGCGATGAATCAGTTTCCCTCCTCCAAAGTCATCTGACCTCTGAAACAAAAAGAATCAACCAGGAGAGAAGATGTTAGGACCCAGTGCCCTGGGCATTACTGTATTTGTGTCACAATATTTTCAAAGATGGCTTCCTCTCTTTGTCCCTGCTCCCTGAAGATACCCGAGTGACTGGTATGGGAGTTGTATGAATTCTTGTTATATTATAGGACTTGCATTTAAGATTCCCAATTACCTTGAGAGTATCCCTGAATCTTGTAAAATTGTCTGAATATTTGATGAATGCATTCTTTTTCTGAAAAATTTGCCTGTAACTTTTATCAAGTATGTGTGTGATCAATAAAAACCATAAGACTGTCCTTGTACTATACCTATCAGATAAATCACATTCTCCTTTTTGCTTTCTGCTACCTTCTCTCAAAATTTTCATTTCTCACTGTTGGTGGTGGCACATGCCTGTAATCATAGCTCTTAGGAGACTCAGGCAGGATTGAGGGAAGTTGGGGCCAGCCAGGGCTACATAGTGAGTTCAGGAAAGATCCTATCTCAGATTTTAAAAAAAAAGTAATGTTCACTCGTTACTTATAACTATTTTGTAAATGAACTACATCTACTCAAGAGGCTGAGGCAGGAGGGTCACAAATTAGATGACAGCCTAGGCAATTTATTAAAACCCTATCTCAAGATTAAAGAAAAAAAAATTCAGGTGTGATGGTGCATGCCTGTAACAGCATGTGGGAGGCTGAGGTAGAAGGACTGCCATGATTTCAAGGTCAGCTTGAACTACTTAGTGTTAGGGACCTGACATCCCATCACAGGCTGTATTCTCCTGGTTCTTCTTGCCTCTTAAAATGACCTCATGCTCTTATCTATAGTTTCCCTCCCCCCAAGGCCACACTGGTCCAGAGGAGTTAAACCTGTTTCTCCAGGACGGAACCAATAAAGGGCTACCTGGCCTATGATAGGTTAAAGGTAGCCCACTCCTCATAAATATCCAATAACTCAGCCCCAAAACAATAAAAGGACCTTCCTTTCTTTGTTCTCTCTTCCTCTCTTCCCTCTCTCCTCTCTCCCTGACCTGCCTTTCCTAATAAAATATCCTTTCAGACCTCTTGGTTTGAGGCCTAGTTGTTGAGTATCGTTGCACCTCTACACTTAGTGAGACCCTGTTTCAAAAAACCAAAACCCCAACCAGAC